TTTGTACATTTTTTAACCCACGCTTAAACACATCGGTTTCCATATTCTTCGCTGTTGGTTCGGTTTCGTATGTTGATAAACTGCAACAAAGATTAGATAAAGCTAACGGCTGTCTTTTTTTAAACTCCGCCTGTAGCTCTTATAGGGTTACTGCTGGTCCCAAGCCCGGGTAAAGGAGGAGGGTTGGGCATGGGGTTAGCGTCCCCATCCCGTAAAAAACTAACTCGCTAAAAAAACGCTTACCAGAAAAAAAATCCAAACCATTTTAACTCTGCCCTGGGAGTTAGAAGGTCTTCAGTTAGAAGAATTATGACGCTTCATGGTGAAAGCCGAGTTCCTTCGGAAGCCACGAGGCCGATGCCCCTTCTAACAACCAGAGCAAAAATTTTTATAGGTACATGGAACGTTCGAACAATGTGGGAAACCGGGAAGACCAGTCAAATAGCAATGGAAATGAGGAGATACAACTTAGCAGTACTGGGAATCAGCGAAACCCACTGGACCCAAGCTGGACAGAAAAGGCTAGCTACGGGAGAGATGCTGCTATACTCCGGTCACGAAGAGGAAAATGCTCCACACACTCAGGGAGTCGCTCTTATGCTGTCCAAAGTAGCACGAAATGCACTTGTAGGATGGGAATCTCACGGATCCAGAATCATCAAAGCATCATTCAAAACAAAGAAGGAGGGGATCTTAATGAATATTATCCAATGTTATGCACCCACCAATGATAGCAACGACGACATTAAAGATCAGTTCTACGAGCGGCTACAGTCAATCATTGAGAAATGCCAAGAAAGGACCTAACTATTCTGATGGGAGATCTAAATGCCAAAGTCGGAATAGACAACACTGGATATGAAGATATTATGGGACGACATGGACTGGGAGAAAGAAACGAAAATGGAGAAAGATTTGCAAATCTATGTGCATTCAACAAATTGGTCATAGGAGGCACAATATTTCCACACAAGCGTATACACAAGGCTACATGGATCTCACCGGACCACACTACAGAGAACCAAATAGATCATATTTGCATCAACAAAAAATTCCGAAGGACAATGGAAGATGTGAGAACCAGGAGAGGTGCTGACGTAGCTTCAGATCACCACCTAGTTGTAGCCAATTTAAAACTGAAGCTAAAAAGAACTGGACAAGTGGACAAACAGCACTACAAAGGTTCAATACAGCCTTCCTTCGAGATACTGACAAACTCAATGAATTCAAGATAGCTCTCAACAACAGGTTCCAAGCCTTACAAGATCTACTGAAAGAAGAAGAAACTAGTATGGAGGACAACTGGAAAGGCATCAAGGAAGCATTAACTTCAACGTGTCAAGAGGTTCTGGGCCTAAAGAAACACCATCATAAGGAATGGATCTCTATAGAAACACTGGACAAGATCAAAGAAAGGAAGAACAAGAAGGCAGCAATTAACAACAGCCGAACACGAGCAGAGAAAGTCCAAGCACAAGCTGAATACATAGAAGCAAACAAACAAGTGAAGAGGAGCATTAGAGCCGACAAGAAGAAATACGTGGAAGAACTAGCAACGACGGCAGAAAAAGCTGCTAGAGAAGGAAATATGAAACAGCTTCACGATACAACGAAGAAACTAGCAGGGAAATACAGTAAACCAGAGAGGCCGGTCAAAGACAAAGAAGGCAAGCCAATCACCGAAATTCAACAACAGCGTAACAGATGGGTAGAATACTTCGAGGAACTCCTGAATAGGCCGGCTCCAATGAATCCACCGGACATCGAAGCAGCACACATAGATCTTCCTATAGATGTCAACCCACCAACGACGGAAGAAATTAGAATGGCCGTCAGACAAATCAAGAACGGGAAAGCAGCAGGACCCGACAACATACCAGCTGAAGCACTGAAATCAGACATCGAAGCAACCACAAGCATGCTTACCTTCTATTCAAAAAGATTTGGGAGGAGGAACAAGTGCCAATGGACTGGAAAGAAGGACACCTCGTCAAGATTCCAAAGAAAGGAGATCTGAGCAAATGTGAAAACTACAGAGGCATTACACTACTGTCAATACCAGGGAAAGTCTTCAACAGAGTGTTGCTGAACCGGATGAAGGATGCAGTAGACGCCCAACTTCGAGATCAACAAGCTGGATTCCGTAAGGATCGGTCGTGCACAGACCAAATTGCAACACTACGGATCATCGTCGAACAATCAGTTGAGTGGAACTCATCACTATACATCAACTTCATTGATTATGAAAAGGCATTCGACAGTGTAGATAGGAGGACATTATGGAAACTTCTTCGACACTACGGAGTTCCTGAGAAGATTGTCAACATTATCCGGAACTCATACGACGGACTACAGTGCAAAGTAGTGCATGGAGGACAGCTGACAGATGCATTCCAAGTAAGGACTGGAGTCAGACAAGGCTGTTTACTCTCTCCCTTCCTCTTTCTTCTGGTGGTCGACTGGATTATGAAGACCTCGACATCTGAAGGAAAACACGGAATACAATGGACAGCTCAGAATCAATTAGACGATTTGGACTTCGCAGACGACCTAGCCCTCCTATCACGTACACACGAACAGATGCAGATGAAGACAGCCAGTGTAGCAGCAGTCTCTGCATCAGTAGGCCTCAGCATACACAAAGGGAAAACCAAGGTCCTCAAATTCAAAGCGAGAACAGCAATCCAATCACTCTTGATGGCGAAACTCTGGAAGATGTAGAGTCCTTCACATACCTAGGAAGCATCATCGATGAACAAGGAGGTTCAGATGCAGACGTAAAGGCGAGGATCGGCAAAGCAAGGGTCGCATTCCTACAATTGAAGAACATATGGAACTCAAAACAACTTTCAACCAATATCAAAGTGAGAATCTTCAATACGAACGTCAAGGCAGTTCTACTGTATGGAGCTGAAACTTGGAGAACTACAACAACCATCATCAAGAAAGTACAAGTATTTATAAATAGCTATCTACGCAAGATACTCAACATTCATTGGCCGGATACCATCAGCAATAGCCTTCTGTGGGAGAGAACAAACCAACTTCCAGCTGAAGAAGAAATTAGGAAAAGACGATGGAAATGGATAGGACATACATTACGCAAATCGTCAAACTGCATCACGAGGCAAGCCCTAACTTGGAATCCTGAAGGGAAGCGGAAAAGAGGAAGGCCAAAGAACACATTGCGTCGGATAATGAAGCAGATATGAAAAGGATGAATTACAACTGGACGGAGCTAGAAAGGATTGCCCAGGACAGGGTTGGATGGAGAATGCTGGTGAGTGGCCTATGCTCCTTCACGAGGAGTAACAGGCGTAAGTAAGTAAAACGGCTGTCTTCTGCACTATCGTATTCTGTAATTATTCTTCATGTTACTATCACAGGAAGCCTTTCTTATTTCAAAATAAAGACGCAGTAAACGTTGCAGACACCCCACAAGTTGAGGTTTGTTGCTAAGTTTTGTATATTATTCAATAAAGAACCGCTGTTTTAGAGAAACAGTTGTTTTGACAACTTTGATTTTGCGCGTGTCGCAATTGGGTGATTTAGACTTCACGATAGACTAAACAATCTTCAACATTGGTTCCCGTGCGTGACTCTGTAATGAATGGCCCTATGCCAAATACACTTGGATTATTCTAGCCTCTGAACGAACCAATTTATCCATTGTTCTTCAGCTTCATTTTGACCTTGTCAATTATCAACCTTGATTGTTTTATGTAAGCGTATGTGTTTTCACTTCTTACTCATCACATGTCTGTACTTATTTTTGTCTGACTACAAATATCAATTCACGCTTGTTTAAATAGATTTGGCTCACTCTGCTTCTGCATTAAGCGTCATTCGGGTTCGTATCGCTTTCGATCAACAATAATTTGAAATATACGCACTCAATGTCTATTCTCGTATTTAACCTAATTCATTCAGTTAGTCACTAATGAGATATAAGTCGGTAACTATATTCAAGGATCGGCAACATGTATATTACAGTGACAATCATCCTGCGATATAACTGGAGTCAGATAATGGGTCAGTAAAACTCCATAAACGAGAGTCGAACACAGGAGTTTCGGCCGCGTGAGTGAATGCTTAGACTTTGGATCAATGAACGAACATTCAAAGGTGTAAATATCTAGATTCAATCAATTCATGACATTGCGCGACCATCTTTTTTTGTCTTTCGTAAGTGCCTTCCACATACTCGTCACAGAAGAAATTAGCTGATCTTTCTTGAAATCTCTTCCCAAAAATGGTCACATGAATATTCTCAGTTTGGAGATTGTGGAGATCGCTGAATGTTACGTAGATCATGAACAGATTGAAGTCATAAAACCATTGACATGACAATAATATTCATAAGGATCGGTCGCATGTAATAAATATTCTTCTCTATTCAGGAATTGTTGTTATTAACTGCAAGGTTGATGAAAGCATGTTTCGATGATATCGTTGGAGCTCAGTAGTAGGTCCATTTTTCAACTGATGGACATTGGTAGCTGAATTGAGAAAACTATAGAAGTTTTCCTGTTTAAAATTTGTGTATAATATGACATTTTCTGCTTGACTGAATTAATTCTCTGTTTACAGAGGAATATATCATCGTTTAATCCATGTCGTGTTTTGATTTGAGAATCGGCATTGAGGACTAGAGCATCCAAGAATACTAGGACGAAGAGAGCGACTTATTAATTGTAATAATCAGACTTCAGTTAACCTGAAAAACGTTATTTATTTTCGAGGAGACCGCTTACTCAAGATTATTAAGTTGCACAATTTCGAGCTTCTACTCAATGGGATGTGACTAATATATTATTATACAATACAGAAGGTGTGTTTGATTGCATTTGACTTGGTGAGAAGTAATGGAGAACTTTCGTTGCTCTACTGTGTTATATAACTACTTAACTCTACAAAATACACCGTAGTTAATAATTCTCGTATATAACAGATCAGCTACAAAATATAATCAGCAAATGCATATATAAAGAACATCTGTTATGCATAAAGATTGTGAGTTAAGCAATCACGGGCTAAGCAGATGTTCCTACATCTGCATGAACGATAAAAACACAATATTTTAAGTGAAACATTTCACTGTCATTCTTCAATATAAGATCATCGGAATAAGTAACAACTCAATTTAGTTCACATCAACAAACTCAACTTGAAGTACATTAATTTAGCATCAACATCATCATCATCATCATCATCATCATCATCATCATCATCATCATCATCATCATCATCATCATCATCATCATCATCATCATCATCATCATCATCATCATCATCATCATCATCATCATCATCATCATCATCATCATCATCATCATCATCATCATCATCATCATCATCATCATCATCATCATCATCATCATCATCATCATCATCAATCAATCAATCATCATCATCAATCAATCAATCAATCAGTCAGTCAATTGTGAATTCAATTTCTTGACAATAGTTTCAGTTAAATTCAATGAAGCAGAATGAAGAACTGCAACATCATTTGAATTATGCTTTAGGCGGTTTTCACATGTGACAAAAAACCTTGTTTTATGAATGAGGATGATGATTGAAAAGAAAGCATTCGTAAGTTTATCAAAAGATGATATTCTAGTTAATAATTTATAGGCTAAATCAACTCTATTAGTAATAGGTGTTCACATGATGGCATGACCTGTTTAACTTCCACATTATTTACACAGACTTAAATGCATTCTGCAACATTTTCACAAGACTTTTACCATGTATAAATAGACATTCGACATTGAGTGAACCAAGTGATGTACATATGAAAATGATTTACATTGTGACGAGTGCGCATTATGCATAGACAATTTTAATCGACACTGCCTCATAGCTTGAATAATTGCTTCTTCCATACCCTGTGTATAACATATAATTGTAGCCATATTCTCGTCTGAATGCTGTATTCAACTCTAATGATAATCACTGACATCGTAAAGATCAGTGGCCAAATTATCTCAATCTCCAATCACATTTATCTGTCAGCATAATACAGTGTTATTCAAAGTGAATCTTGGGTTACCTGCTCTCGGTTCACGGTAAAGAATTCCAAGGAGATTCAAGCTAACATTACACCAACGATTAGTATTCTGTGGCTGACATTAGTATTTTGCAGTGAAAAGTAGACTATGACTTGAACTTTATGGAGAAATTAATCGACTTCACCTATCACATATGACAGAACCAACTGTTTTCTGTAAGAATTGTTTTATGTGGGTGGATTTTCATTACAGATGGATGTTGGTTGCAGTACCAGCGTAAACTAAAAGGTGCTAGGTAGTCATTTTGCCGTAACATGAAATTTCTCAGTAATCAACATTTTGTGTAGTCGCCTAGCTTAATGTCGAGTAGATTGAGACTATTGGTGTGGATTATTGGATGACGATTCGATAGTCTGAACGTTAAGCGTTTGACGGAACACCTGAAAATCATTCAATCGACCACCGTTTCAATGTCGGCAAACATCACAGAGTGGGCGATTTCCAAATTCATTCGAGTTCAGCACACATATTTCAGTGAACATATATTCCGAACGATATGAGAAGTAAGTGTCACCACAACAACCGTTACTGGGTGGTAAAAATGAAATCAATGAAAATACATGCAAATGAAATATTTAGTGAATGGTCTTCACATTTAACCAAGATGATGTTGCATTTAGATGCAGTTGGTTGACCCGTCTTGTGTTCTAGTGCACTACAATACTAGATAAATCGAATTCACTTACATCTGTCTCTTGGATAACTCACGTTCTCTAGTTCCGTTCCATATGAATTGTTTAGATTGAGTGGAATATTGATGTTTAGTGAATTTCAGTAGGATTCCATATTTACCGGTTAGGTGAAACCTGCTGACAAATTATGATAAATCGAAGTTGTCGAATGGATGTCCGAATTAGGAATTCTCAGAATAGTGCAATTTAAGACAGACAGACAGACAGACAGAACTAAATGAGCTCAAATCTCATCCACTTAGAATCAATCTTCACTGGATTTGTGCGGATAGTAAAGTTAGTGAATTCTCATTGAATCCAATATAAACGGGATATGGGACATGGGCTCCACTGTCAACAACTACAACACATCTGTTCTATTGAACGTGTGACAAAATCACTATATCAACACAATCCACACACACACATTGTCCATGTTCACTTGCAAATGTGATCAAATTCAGTCGTGAATGTCAACAACAAAATAGTGCAAAGGTTTATTGATTATAGTACATATGTGATCAATCTCGGTCTATTCAAGCTGCAAAACAATATCAGTATCCTATATGACGATATTGAACGAGTGAATCTTAGCTGATTTTAGTTACATGGAGAAATGGTGTTCATTTCGCCCATGCTTTGTGTGCAACTCATCATGCTGACTGATCTGTTCTACATAGAAGGACGATTTATAATTTAAATTCCATAGGTACTTTACTCAAACTTCATGCATCTAACCTTCTCTGATATGTTCTTTGGGTTCAATATTTATCGTGGAGACGATGAGTTAATTGTACACACCTGTTTCATCTATTCACTCCAAATATGTTTGTATATTTACTGGTCAGAATATTAAGTCTTAAGGGATGTTTTAGTCTATGCACTGCCGAGGTTTGAGATGATTCAATGCACCCATATGCTAGGCACTGCTTCGGACTGAGTATGCCGAAATAGTAGGATGTGAGATAATCTCACTTAGTGACATCACATTGACAGACTGCGGATTCATTTTGACAGATGAGGTTTTTTATCGCACGGTAACCTTTATTTACGTGAATACTGACTTACCAATATAGAGGAAGTTTTATTGTTTATACGCTTGCGTGTTTTGTAAATCCAGTTCATCGCATGAGATCAGTAAGCAAGTGAATATATCAGAGTGATATCATGAGGCGGTGCACTGTCCATTACTTATCACTCCCAGTTATGTCCTTATTCGTTTAAGTGAAGTAAGTGAGTTAAGTTTGTTCCAGTGGTTCGCTTCGACCAACCTAAGTAAAAGCGACAGATCAGCTTGAAGACTGGATTTGAAAGATATATTGAAGTCAAGCAATATGGCACTAGTCAAGACATCATTAATACAAGCAAATTGTCAGAGAGGAAAACAAGCGGTCGGATTGATCATTACATTGTAATGAGTCAAAGGATATTGCAAACAGCTCTAGAAGTCTAGGTCCGTGTGACGATACTGTTCAATTAAGTGGAGTGATGACTGACGGCTTTTCTAAACAAAATGAAGAAGAACGGAAATGTGGTAAGAATTTTTCACTGAGGAAAGCAAAGAACAAGGTAAAAGAGAAGGTTGAAAGACTAGAAGAATGAGGAGAAATGTTGGACTCTTCGATGAAGTATTTAAAAGTTTCCGAAAAAGGATCTACCACGCGAATAAACTTTAATAACAGTAGGGACTGAACTAGAAGTTAAAGTGCACAACAAAATATACGAAAACAATTCGCAGTAAAACAGAAGGAAAAATGAAGCAAAACCGCAATGTGAACACAAAACACAAAGACGTTTTAGGGCCAGTGAGATGTTACTGAACCCTATTCAAATCATTCGGCAATTGGGTCAGAGAAAGTCTTATTGATCACCGATCCCTGTCAAAGTCAAGGACGACCAAAGCGCATCATTTAATCGTATTCCATGGACTAGCGCATTTGTTGGTGGTCTCGCTATCTTCTCTGTACTCATTTTTACTCATATTTCTCCTTGATAACGTCCTTTGTGTTACACGGTCTTCATAGCAGCCAAAGTACTTTAATGCGTCGAACGAGTAATCCATGTTAGATGTTCATCGCAAAATGTCGTCGTCTACGCTGGTGATCAACAAAGTAACACGTCTTCAAAGGGTAGAATGCGACGAGAACGATGTCTTTTGAACAGGCAAAGATATTCGCAGTAAGGTTGCTGGATTAGATTTAGTTTTACTTTTGCATCAGTTTAAGTTTTTGGTCGATTGATGGTTCTGCGTGTTGCCTGAAAAGAGTTGTGATTGTTTGCCGAAATATCTGTGGTAAACATTTAAACGACTGTTAACTTGATCAAGGTCATTTATTGGTTGATTATTTTTATATGGGAGGTGAATACTATCACTAGTTATCCTCGACTTAAAGGCTCGAAATGGATTACACGAACTTGTGTTTGGTAAACACCGAGATGCAATAAATAGTTATTTTCATCATGACCTAGTGTACCAGATGAATTTGTTTCATCAATTAAACAACGCGAAATGCATTATAAACTACTAGTTATTTGTTGCAACTAATTATAGGAACTGGCATCATTCCGTTTTGTTCTTTCGGGACTATGACTTAACATTTTTTGTCGGTGTTTTCTATGTTTAGTGACCAGCGTCCTGCATTGAAACCCAAAACACATTTTGAAGTACTACACATTTCATGCAACCTGGGTATACAAGTGATGTTGTCAATAAATTCAAGACTCACTGCAAACACCATTACAGGTACATCCAACTGTCGATAACCTAATCAAGCACGATATAATATGAGTCCCTCACTTCAACCTTATCCATCCTACACAATTTTGTAAATGTTCTGCAGAGAGGAAACAGTGAAACCGAATGCAAGCATACTCGTTTTAATAACAACCCATCAAATTAGTGTTGTTTCATCCAAGTTACATGTACTTTCATTGATTTCATGTTTATCACTCAGTAACTGTTGTTGAGGTGGCACTTACTTCTCATTCAGTTGGTCAGCCTAAACGTAAGATTAGGCACATATATGCATCGGTCGAAGTTGTTATATCTCTTTATCATAACAACATGAAAGCCAAATACATAGGAGCAGTTACTTCAATTGTAGTAATATATAAAAAAAGCATATATCTATATGATACAGGGAGGAAGAATTAGCTCGTAGAAGGGAATTTGTATAGCAATTTTAGTCACACGGTTTAAGAGATGACAAGGAGTGTATACACTTACACCATTGTGGTCGAATCTGAGTAATGTCACCCTGAATCTACAACCACCAGTTACGATAGTCACCCAGACCACAACAAAGTAATCTGCATCTACCAACATGGCTCAGACCAGAAGTAAGTGACTTCAAGAATTAATGCCACATTTTTGTTTGACTGTCCCTAACCTTCTTCCAACCGTCTTCACCACTAGTCAGCATTGTGCGTCGTGATATTCGGTATTCAGGCATGCGCAATACGTGTCCCAACCATCTCAGTCGATAGAGATTCAAAACTGACTCGACATCCTTCCCTAATGCCATGAGCCTGACGCCACTATTACGTACCCGGTGATCCCAGTAGATGCGAACAATATTCCTAAGGCATCTTTGGGCAAATTTCAAAAGCTTAAGAGAATCTTATACTCATAATGGTTACGATTTACAGCCTTAAAGTAGAACAGAACAAAATGTTGTACAGTATATTCGTCCCTTAATTGATAGACAGGTATCTCG